CGAGAGCGGGGCAGCCGAGAGCGGGGCAGCCGGTACATTTCCAGAGGACGAAGCAAGCGTCAGGGAGATGAGGGCACAGTCTAAGGCCATCACTGGCCTTGGGTACACTGGATCTCTACTGGGGTCCTCCAGCGCTAAGTGTACGGTTTGACCGTCTCTAAAATAGTTGCCTCTCTAGGCCAGGACTCTGTCCATAGCAACACAAGCCCCCAATCCCAAGTTATAATATTTAAAAATAGCCAGATTGGTTGGCCCTCTTTTCCTCTACCCACATCCACTGACTTATGGGTTTAGCACCCCAGTTTACCATAGAGTAAAATCCTCAGGGACTCCTCCAGAACAGTGGTTCATAAACTGGGCTGCACATCAGCATCACCAGGAGAGCTTAATAAAATGCATGATTTCTGGGCTCCACCTCAAACCCACTGAATGAGAATTTTGGGGGGATGTGCACATTGACAGGTTCTCCAAGCGGCTCTTCCGCAGCTCTCTTGGCACTGATCAACTCCACAGTCTTGGGGGATGCTTATCAGCACGTGGCTAAAGGAAACTGCCCGATACTTCTGTCTGGTGAGGCCAGGCAGTCTGCTTCTGCACCTTCCTTCGTCTTAACACTTTTGTTTGGTCGGTGGATCTTGTTCAGTGGTTTACGGGATAATACTCTTCCCACAGTTTCGTTATTTTAGAATCCAGAATGTCCACCCATGGAAATTCTATGGTATATTTTTGGCTGCTTATATTTTTGCATAGGGTTATTTGTAGCTAAAATTAGAAATGGATGTAAAAGCCCTGTGTAAACTGTAAAGTGTTGTACAAATGTAAGGGATTATTACTGTTGTTATATTGTCCTTTACACACAGCCCGGCACCCTTGCCTGTCCACCCATCTCTTCTGCCTTATGTTGGGAGTTTTTAGCCTGGCAACAATCTCATTGGTTTTCCTGCTTTTCCAAGGTCCTAGCGATGTCAGGTATGCATGAAGGCTCCCACTGCCCAGAATCCTAACGTCCCCATTTACTTTTTAGGTTCTCAGAACAAACACGTTGTTCCCTATTTTCCTTAAGCATTGAGTTGAGACACTATTGCTCACCTACACCTACCATCCTCAAATCTGCACTCAGAGCATTTGAGCACAGGGTAGAGCAAGCTACCAGTACCGAACAGAGTAGAGCCATTCTTATAAAAATTCCATTTCATCTCAAAAGATCCCTGATCCAGCTATTCCTTTTCTAAACCCCTCCTACAGAAGTACACAGGCATCCAAAGATATGGTACAGTGACGCTCATTCAGCTCTGTTTGTAACAGAAAAAACCAAAAAGAAACCCAAGCATCAAGCAGAGGACTGGCTAGAACGTTATGACGTGCACATCCAATGGAACACACTGCTGCTATTAGAAAGAATGAAGCAGATCTCTCATTTGTCACAGAAAGATTTCTATACTTTATAAGTGAAGCAGGCAGTTTTGTAATAAAATCCAGAGTATGACACCCCTATTTTTTTAAACAAAACAAATAAGACATAACTATATGTGTATTTATATTCATATATTTACATAGAAGAGAAAAAAGTCTTTAGAGGTTACTCATTAAACTAATACGTGATTAATTACAAAAAGCTAATGGGAAAAAATCTGACCAGATTACCTGCTGTACATCATGCAAAGACATCATTCTTAAAACATATAATATCCTACATCAAAAACAGGTACAGTGTGAATGAAATGATGTCGTATCTGGGTTTTGCTTCAAAACAGTCCAAGGCTGCAGTAGGGGGTGGAGAGTTAGGGTATAGATGAAACAAGATTGGTCATGTGTTATAACTGTCAAAGTTAAATGATAGTATATATGGATTTGCCATACTGTTCTCTATAAGTCCGTATATATTTAAAATTTTCCATAATAAAAACAAACTTTAAAAAAAAACTATTGGCTTTTTTTTTGAATCCTCACCTGAGGATATATTTCCATTGCTTTTCGCAGAGAGAGGAAGGGAGAGAGAGAGAGAGAGAGAGAGAGAGAGAGAGAGATTCATGTGAGAGAGACACATTGACTGGTCGCCTCCCGCATGCGCCCCAACTGCGGCTGGGGATCAAGCTTGGATGGAATCGGACCTGTGACCCTTCATTCTGTGGGCCGATGATCTAACCACTGAGAAAATCTGGCCAGGGCCCATATTGGCTTATAAGCAAATATTGCCAAAGTAAGGAATTCTACAATTTTTAAATATTGATTTTTAGAGAGGAAGGGAGAGGGAGAGAGAGAGAGAGAAACATTGATGTGAGAGCAGAACCTCAATCAGCTGCCTCCGGCACGACCCCTACTGGGGATCAATTCTGCAATCCTGGCATGTGCCCTGACCAGGAATTGAACCAGCAACCTTTCGGTACACGAGACAACATCCAACCAACTGAGCGATACCAGTCAGGGCTACAATTTAATTTAACCATCAATAGTGTATAAAAGTCAATCCAACCTCAATTTGTTGTATTTTACTAGGGGAAAGCATTCTTATCAATAATAACTGACTATATAGGCTTAGAGTCTGGCTAGTAACTAAATTTGGGGAAAAAGTGAAAATGCCATAAAGAAAGGACTCTCTTTGGCTCATGCTACCATAAGTAAGCATAAATACTTCACCATGATGAGAAAAGCAAAGAATTAGTACAGTAGATGTAGTTAATCAAAGAAGAATGCAAATGTGTAATAGACAAGATGGAAAAAAGTGAGATCATCCTGGAACCATGTGAAATGAACACAAGAAGTACAATGGAGTGACTTGGGCTGCAGGGGTGACTGATAGCACACAACAGTAATTATTACCCATTTCAACACAAGATGGAGTAAAACCCTGGGTGTCCTCACAGCATGTCAGTGGCTAGCACAGTATCATCAGCGAGGAACTGGTGAGGCTGAGGGAGGAAGTTGTGTAAGTGCAAAGACAGGAGTGTGAGGCAAAAGCTCTGAAGGATGTCACCATGGAGGGCAGTGGCTGGCAGTTAAGAAGGCCCTTAACCAGCTCAGAGAAACGGGGGAGAAAATCACCCTAAGCAGAGAAACTGTGGGAAGGCTGGAGTGCCCAAAACACTGGCTTGGCAGCCTCTCACTCTAGGGGTTCTTTTCTGTGACTCGAGCAGCAAAAACTCAAAGTTTGGGCCACACGCTAGACAGTGTTATTGTGCAAGCCCAGGTAGCCAGCCAAGAGGTTTTGTTTGCCAAATGGGAAAGGACTAGAGTGGCATTAAAGGGTATTTTGTGTCCTGCCTAGAATTTAATCTTGGCGATTTTACAATCTCAATTATTTATAATTGTTCCTGTAATGTTTCATTTGCTTTGAAATGGATATAAAGACCAGAACCAACATGCATAATTTCATCACAAGCAGCTGCAGCACCAGCCCTGCTGTGGGGCTACCTCACAGCCTCGTGACCTCGAGAGGAGGGTGGCTCTAGAGGGTTACCAATGCATTTTTGATGTTGCAGGTTCTGTCTCTTTAAAATCACTGCTTTTGTTTTGGTAAACACAGCAAGAGAATCCCGAGACTGTATATACAAAGATGCAGGGGCCTTCTTCCTTATGTTAACAACTGATATATAATCTAGTTATACAGTGTGCTTAATTCAAACTCCATTACTAGTTCAGTAGTACAGATAAGAGCTGTCATAATAAACCCACAGATGATGATGATGATGGTTGTACCATCTTTCTTGTAAATGGAATAATGCTGATTAGCATGTATGCAGCCTGGTGGGCAATGGGCAGGACATTCAGTGCTCACAGCAGATCTTTAAGCTTTGCCTGCTCTGCGATCATTCCATTCACACATCATCACGTTAAAGAGCTGTGAGAGCTCTCAGCCCAGTTCTCTTGTTTCACAGAAGAAACTGAGGCCCAGAATGAGGAATGGACTGACTTCCTGATGACCCCCGTTTGCTGAGTGATTGATTCTGAATTCAAAGCCATGCTTTCTGACTCCCAAACCAGTGCTCCTTTCATTGTACTAGTCTTACTTAAGAATGAAGATACATTAAATTCACACACATATGCCACACACACACACACACACACACACACACACACACACACACACACACACACACAGCCACTCTTGGTAAAGAGTCTCAGCTGGGCTGGGTCTGGCTGGTAACTACCAAATGGGGACCAGCTGAGCTCTGGACAGAGGAGCCTGTGTGCATGTGTGCTTGTGTGTGTGTGTGTATTTAATGGGGATAGGTGGGGGACACAGTGCTGAAAACACTCCAGGGTCCCTTCTCTGTGACTTGTACAGCAAGACACTCAGAGCTTAGGCTACCTGTTGGCAATGTTACAATTCATGGATTTTACTAGAAATCAAGGGGACTTTGAAGTTTCTCTGTTTAAAATGTGGTCTAGGACAGAGAACTTGGGTCTTGGAGTCTGAAGTCCTGGTTTCTATACCGACTAAAAGTATGACCTTGGCTGACTAAATTACTTAACCTCTCTAAGTCTGTCTTCACCTGCCATATCTCTGTCATAAGGTTTTTCTGAGGAACAAATATATATGAAAGCACTTTATAAGCTGTAAAGTACATGCTAATGCAAGGTATTACTACTCCCAGTATTGCTATAGAAGATAGTGCAGAATTACTACTTAGGCATGCTAGCTCGTCACCAAACTGTGAAGTAGGCCAAGTGGTCTTTGGCCCACCATTACCTAACCCCATTTCTGGTGCCTCTGGTCTGGTCCTCCAGCTCCTCAACTGGAAGAACTGCCTGGCAGGCGATGGAGGAGGCATTTCTGGACCCAACCCAAGTGACACCCGCGGTCAGGCTGCCTGCCCATCTGGATAACTCCAGCCTCACCTGTGAGAGTTTGGATCCTCAGCTGTGGTTGCTGTACCTTTGTCTCCTCCACAAGCTGGGGAGGTGACAGGTAACTAGACTAGGACAAGGAAACAGTCATCTCCGAGGAGCAAGGGGTAATAGGAAAAAGAGCGAAATTGCATGGGAATATGCTCTGATCTGTATCAGGAAAGACAGGAGCATGAAGGAAGTGCCACGCTGTGTTCCCGTCAGCGAGCGAGGTGAGTGCATGCAGGGGAGGCTCACCAGAGCATTAGGCTTGGCCTGTGACACTGAGAAAATGTAACCAACGGGTTTGGCTCAGGATTCCTCCTGACAGGTTCAAGTCCATTAAAAATACATTAAATGTCAGTGAGAATTTGCCATGGCCTGTTGTTTCGCCATGAGGAAATTTTGTTAAATCAGGACATACATTTAAAAATTTTTCACAAAATTATTTCAGTAACTTATTTTCCATTTATTTTTATGTAGGACACTATACACTTTGGGAGAAGCCACACACACACACACACACACACACACACACACACACACACACACACAGTTCTTTTTCTTTTTGCTTTTTAAATTGTATCTTGATGAGAGTTTTATCTGGAAAACCAATGTGGTTCTCTCTCTATGTTCTTCTTAATATAAGTCATAGAACTACTGCCATAATATCAAGAAGAAGCCAGTGTCTTAAAGTGGCTACTTTTAATTTTGATTTTTTTTGACCAAATGGAGCTGATCAAGATATTGTCCAGATTTTAATTTAAAGAGAGAAGTGAAAGAGAAAAGAAAATTGGGATTTCCTGAAATTTCCTACACCAGCTTGGTAGCATATTCAATTTCATCCCATTCTTAGAACAATTCTGTAGGGGGGTATTTCTATATGCATTTAACAGACAAGGCTCAGAAAAATCAGATAATTCTGCAAAGACCACAAAGCTCACAAGGGTTAGAAATGGGCTTCCGATTCAGAAGATGCTCTCCCCACTGGTCAATAAGGAAGAAAGCAAAACAGAGGAAACTATCTGGATTTTTAAAAGTCTGTTATTTCCTGAGGGTGAGAGAGGGGACCTGGCGGGGAGAACAGAGGAAGGTTGATAACTGTTGCAGTTGGGTGATGGGATAGATTACACAATTCCACCTTCTTTTGCATGCTTAAAAATTTCCAAAATCAAAGGTGAAACAAAACAAAAGGGCTGCTTAAAGGATGTTGACAACATAGCAAATATTATGTCTAAACAACCTTTTGCTGTTTATAGAAAAGATGGTAACGTTTTACAAAAGGAGGAAGAACTAATCTTTAATTCCTAGAGATGTTTATCAAAATGTACCTGGGCAGTGATTACACAGGACATGCAGCTTACCCTCCGCTTCTCAGAATGGAGATGGTTCCACTACCTGGACTGCATCCTGGACAGAGTCTAGTCACTACCTGCATTATTTCTGCTAACGAGATTGAAGATTTCCACTGTGGGATATCAGAAATGCCACTCATGTTATTTTCACCCTGTTTGTAAGGTTTTCTAACATTACCAAGAACTAGAGGAAGACAGTGAATCTTACAGATGGGAGAAAGAACATTTTACTACAGAAAAGTATTGCTTTGCTTAAAAGGTTAACTTTAATTAAGACAGAGATAAAAGCTTTTATAGAAAGAATGACAAGCATGTAAAATTACCTCCACTGCTGTGGGCCATTGTTAGGGCTTCCAAGGAAGTGGCTTGAGTTACCTCTAGCTGGCAGATCACCACTTTGGCCCTGCTAATGGCACTGGCTGCTTTCCGCAGGTCTTCAGTATTCAAGAGCAAATTTGCTCCAGCCACTATCACGATGATGTTCTGGCCTATGGAGAATTTCTATATATTTATATTGAAACCAAGCAAAGCCAAGCAATGATATTCTGCAGTGTTACAATCACTCTTACAAAGTCATTACAGGAAATGTGTTGGATTAATTTTAACATTTCTAGGCCATTCAGGTTAGATTTAATATTCCTAACGTATCTTACAATATTTAGGTAACATTCATATTCTAATCATTTTGAGCAAAATCTAAAAATGATTTCCTTTATCGGTATTCTTATATACAAAGAATATTAGCTGAGAAATGATATGTAACAAACGTCAAATCTTCTTTTATGGGAAATGGCTGGTACAATGTATGTGGCAGAGATTCTTAATCCTAAATGACAGATGTCATAATGATGACTAAAATCAGGAATAAACTTGCCTAAAGCTAAAAACTAACTCTCTGTAGGTTGCAATCAGTTCGAGGTGGACCCCAGGGTATTCTGGAAAGTGATTTTGTAAATCAAACCACATTTTTTAATATCTAGCAGGTGAAAAATTATACTAAATAACTTAAGGTAGAGAGAGGGATATTTGGCCTAACCTGTACCAGATCAAACAGAAGCGGGACCAAGTACCCAGCGCTTGGACCCATTCTCTACAATCCCACCTGAATGCAGGTGGCGTGGTGGATCCTAAATGACAGGAGCACAGCCACATATGGCTACTGAGCACTTGGAATGTGTTAGTCCAAACTGGGATGTGCTTTAATTGTACAACACACAGCACATTTCAAGGACTGAGTACAAAGGAAAGGTAAAATATTTCATTACTTTTTAAGAACTTTTGGATTACATATTGAAAGGAAAATATTTTGGATACACTGGGTTAAGGGAAGACATTAAGATGAATTTACCTGCTTCTGTTTCCTTTTTCAAATGTGGCTAATGGAAGTTTAAAACTGCGTGCGTGTTGCCTTGTTCCCACGGGACGGCACTGATCTCGCGGGGTGAAAGCAGCGCTCTCTGTGCCGCAGGCCGCTGGTGCTGCTCTCTTACAGACACGGCCTTCAGTTACCTCTCAGCACAGGGCCCGAGCTGGCCTGTCCTCTTACCACAGACGTGCTTGTTGGCCACAAGGAGGACTTAATAAAGTGGGGGTGGCCCAGGGGGAACCCAGTCCGGGCGGGCAACGCGCAGAGGACCCGCGCCCAGGGACAGCGCCTCCGCCCTGCGTCCTGGGCGCCTCGCTCCCTCTGCGGGCGTCGGCGCGGC